CTACCCCCAAGCCCCCAAACAGCTACCCGTAATCCCTGGCGCGCTCCCCCTTGCAACGGCGGGGTCGGCGGATATGCTTGGGGTATTTTGGAGCCTATTGGGAGCTTCCACGTGGTCTTGAGGGTTTTTGTTTGATGCACCTTGCGAGCTTTGTGTTTTGGGCGCTCTGTGCTACTTTTTGTGACCGATGGAGGTTTTGTGATGGAACTCTGCCAGGCACCTTGTGGAGACTTTGCGTGCCCAGCAGGCAGGGGTGGCAAAAGGGTTGCAGAGGAGGTTTTGGATGTTTTGGTAGAACCTTATGGATCCAGTGTAAAATAATTTGTCTTGGCTGCTCAGCCCACGGTCAACTCTCGATGCCAGGGTCAAGAAGGTGCCGCCTCACAAAGGACGAAGACATGAACCTCGACTCGACATGGTTCGAACCGCCAGGCTACACAAAGAAGGACCGCAATACCATCGGCTCCAGTGCGGACCGGGAGCCTGGTGGACCGTGGAGCTCCATTCCGGCAGGGGGATCGGGTGGACGGCGGGTGGACCGGGGGGGTGGACGGGCGGTCCAATGGTGGATGTCTCCGGTGACGGACATGCGGATGTCGCGTCTGTGAAAGTGGCAATTTTGCTGATTCAGACATTCACATGTTTCAATGATTATAATATATCACCAACGAAAGGTACCTTGTTGAGCTGGGTTCTGTTTCAATGGCCGTTGATAGCGAATGTTTGCATCAGCTCTTGTCAGAGCGATCCTTCTCTGGAGGCTCGTGCAATTTCCATCTATTATTCAGGATGATCAGTTTGTTGTGTCAGGGGAGCTTTAATCATGTTTATGATTGGACGATGTATGATCCAATTACCATCTACATCCATGTCCATAGGTCCGTATCGCAGCGGTTCATTCCGTGATTCGGGACGTCGCTTTTCAACACTTCGGTGCGTCGCGCCAGGGAATCCGTCTGACCGTCGCTGAAACTCATCGGATTCCGTCTCCGTCGTGCCTCAGGCCAAGTGCTGTACCCCCGTGAGTTGCCCCGCTCACTCCTCTGGCACCGATGTCCCGAGCCGCCTGGGCAGAGCACCGATCGTTCTTAGTCGGGCTGCCGGGGTGGAGTACCAAAGCACCTCCTGCTTGTGGTGGCTGGGGGGGTTCTGCGCCTGCTTCTGTACAGGTAAAGTAATTTCAGTGAATGTTTTCTCTGCAAGAAGGTCGTCCCCGATGTGGTTGAGAATCATAGCTTCTAATTCCATAATGGAGCCTTGAAGGAAGTTCAGTCCACTTGTTTGAAGTATTATTCATTGGTTACCTTGGGAACAGGTTAGGAGTTGATGATACTTGATGTGGGAGATCGTGTTGAGAGAATATGCACTCTTTGATCCGTTTGAAGTATGAACCGTGGCTCAACCTCCTTGTCTGAAGCATGGTGAATTGACTTTGTGACTTGGATGTATGTGGTAGTTGATCAAAAGACCGACATAAGGCCTAGATTCATTGAGAGCCCTTTATGTTGTTTGTGAAAGTTTTTAATCAAATTCGCGAAATTAACCAGGGGTCACAAAGGGGTCGGGGTGGTGTTTGGTCCCTAAGTGAGTGGATAATGGGCACTCGTACCCTCCATTAAGAATTCCTTTGTGACTGCTGGAAGTTTTTTTTTGGTGAAAGATCTACAAAAGATAGGCATGTGTTGAAACAACCAAGCCAGGAAGACACATATTATAGGATATACTGTACCACCGGCGAAGGTTATAAACATTGTCCGCGAAAGATTCGGGAAAGTCATGATATTTTTTTGCGAAGAATTGTGTTTCTATAAGTAGGGAGTTTCATCATCCACCATGTAGAGCAAATCAACTTTACATTTAGTATCTGAAAACCTGCATACATGGAGAAAGTGTACTGTACGTTGAACAAGCAGGGCAACCAGTGAGAAAACTATCCAACAAAACCTCGGCAAAGTACATTGTTTCCAGCATTCATTTCAATGGGTCCTCGCAACACACGCTCTAAGCATGTCTTTTTCGTGACCAACCCGCTTAGACACCAATGACAAAGAACTACTGTTGCGAAGGGCCGGCCGTGACCTTGTTAAATTCCGTTGCGCCACGTCGCGCCACGTCGACGGTGGCTCACTGTGGATCGCTGATTTGGATCGCTCCCTGGCCCATCTCAGGTGGCTGCAGCTGCCACACAGGCCGAGGGATGTGGCCGATGTGGTGCGGATGTCGCCTGCACGAGTCACGCCTGGCCGGTGTGTGAGATCCACAAGGAACAACGCGAATTTCCAGTTCCCAACAGTCCCCAACCTCTTCTCAGGGTGGAACAAGAGTCTTCGCCAGGTGAGATGGATGTCTTCAACAGATTTAATATTATACATATATAGGCTTTTAGGTGGAGGCCATCGCTATCAGGTGGAGGCCATCGCTAGTAGGTAGGAGGCCATCGCTAGTAGAAACAGAGAAAAGAGAAAAGGAAGAAGGGTTTAGCACAGTCAAGAACGGTGCAAGTCTGCGGCCGCAGGGCGCAAGGGTGACATCAAGGCCAGCACGCACCATCCATACTACACAGGCTGCGACATCGGCGCAAGGATGACAGATGCATGTGTTGCTGGAACTGAAGTAGGATCTTAGTTAAGCTTAACTCGTTTGTTTGGAATGACTTTCCTCACTAGATGGAGGGAACATGAGGGAACTATTCTGAAATATTCAAGAATACCTGACAACCTGTGATTAGGGGAAGCAAAGAGACAAGCCTCAAGTAAGGAAGGGAAGCGCAAGGAATGGTAAGGACAATGAAGGGAGGGAATTCTGGAGGGAAGGTGTGCTTTAAATAACCTTGACATGGGAGACTTGTCGTCGAAGGCAATCTCGTTTTTTGCCCACCAGGCTCTTGTGACGCAGCGCCATGCCCTTGGTGGACCAGCGGCACGGACGTGGCATGCTTAATCGCCAGGGCAGGACGAGTGGCATCCTGCAAATTGACCAACAGCCGATTCTTTGTCATGCAAATTTGCATGCCATTGACACATCTTATTACGTCTTATTCATACACAATTCGCAACTTCTTTGGACATTTTCCAACTTAACTGAAACACAAAAGATTGCTGCTGCCACAAATATGGGTTTCCGTTTCAGCTTGGTGCAAAGAGTTCTGCCCCAACCTTTTATGGGGAGGAAAAAGGTCCGTGCATATTGCTCGAAAAGAGGGGATCCATAGCATTCAGTGATATGCTGGGACATCACATCCCTCAAATCCAGTTCTTCCAGTCCCCCAGACTTCTCCAGGATACCCCTGTTTCAGGTCCTGGCTGGATGCAGCTGTTGGTCGGGCTATTTTGGCTCCATCACAGCCAAACAAGGCTAGGGGACGATTTCGCGTGTACGCGTGAACCCGACCATGGGTAGATAGGCCACTCAGTGCTTGGATGACGTTCAGTTCAGCTGGGAGTTCTTTTTCCCCAACAGCGAAGCTTTCGGGGTCTTCAGCCATAGTATAGACTTTGGAGCAGATCGGAGCAAGCTCCCGAGCAGGTTCCGGACCAGGTTCCCGAGAAGGTTCCGGAGCCGGAGCAGCAAGGAGCAATGGCCAAGGAAGTGTGGAACGCCACCACCGAACACTGCTTGGACAAGTGAAAGCCGTTATCAAGTACAACAAGACTACAGCATAAACATCAACAACAAGCGTCCACTACCACCCTGGCCTATTCGTCACGCCTCATGGATTCTCAATCGCTACTCGGTACATTCTCATTAACTCACGTCCTACCTAAAATGGGAGAGAAGCTACAAGCGCGCTATCTGCGAGATGGGAGAGACCATTCTCTACAGAACGCCTGGCAAGGGAGACCTAAAACTACGCAAAGGTCTTTGGCTTGTCATCGACGACAGCGCTGCCTTTGTCCCACGTTGGAACGCAACATGGAGTGATCGAAGCACTACAGCCTGACTTCTGACAAGCCATTACTTCTGAGCATCGCAGGAGGGTGCCCAAAACATACCGGCCAATATGAACCTTTGTTCATCCACCTCGAAGCACCACCAAAACAACTCTTGAAACACGAGAGCAGCAAACAGCTACAGAGACAGTTGAAGTTACTGACTCAGGACAGCAAAAAAAGACTTCAGACCAGTACTGCCATCTACCTCATCAAGCAGCCAGGCAAAAGCACTGCCTACAGCACCTTTTGGCAACTTCAACAAATGTTGAAAAGAAAACAGACAAGCGCCACCGGTAGATGATACTACAAGACACCAGAAAAGTCTAAGGGCTGAACGTTCTACAGAAGCGACAACTCACGAAACAGCAAAAACAGAAGAACCAGTTACCAGGAAGCAACGGGTCGCTATGGTCACTACAAAGGAAGGCCTATTGGTGGCAACTGCTACCAATGATGACCAAGAAGAAATAGGGATTGCTGCCCGGCTACAAAATCCTCAACTTGGTTCTACAGAGGGATTTGATCCAGTGCAACTACGGGCCGGAATGAGCAAAGACATGGGAGATACCAGTCATCGTGACATCTACGATTGGGCGCTTCGGCTGTTGAACCAGAAGTCCTGTCAAACGCAGTTGATACCCGTTGGGTTCATACTCAAAAGACTCCAGCTACAGTCAGAAGTATTCAGACTTAGACGACGTCGACGCCTCCCATTCCTCTCTTCATGCTGCTACGAGTTCTTTTGACTGTCTCTTTGGCACGTGGATGGAGAATATGCTTTGGAGATGTATTCCACTGCCTTTGTTCACGCACCAATCAGAAACATGGAGATCTACCTCTGGCCACCAAAGAAGTACAATCCGGAAAGAAACACTCTTTCAAGACTCAACAAAGACCACTTGTGAACCACGCAGCTCACCTAAGGCTCGGCAAGGCTACTTTGCCGACTAACTACTTGGAATTAAAAAACTTTTGAGTGAGGGCGAGTCCAATGTCCACATGAATGCTGCGAGTGACCTCTTCATCATGGGCTACCTCGACGATATCATGATTATTGAGAACCTAGCAAGGTGGACAAAACGTTTGAAGACATACAAAGATGCTACTGAAACACACCGGCTACCTTGATGCTGGAGACGCACAACACTTCTTGGGAAGGAACCTCAAAAACTACGGAAGCTACATCGGAGTTGATCTTGACAGTAAGTATGTGGAAGACCTACTAGCAGAGGTGAACATGACCAAGTGCAACCCGGCAGAAACTACAGGAAGCAATAGCAACAAGTCTTCTTCCGAAGATGTTGACTACTTGGATCATATTAGTGCAAGACTTACAGAAGACTTGTTGGAAAACTACAGAAGCTCTCTTCCACACGACCAGGCATCAGCTACTCAACACAGGAAATCGCCAGGAGCCTACGCAACTGACGCATGCGCAAAGCATCTACTGAAATATCTACGTGGCGCATCGAACTATTAGTTCTGTATCCAACCTACCGCCCAGTTGAACGATGAACAGAAACTAGTGGGGCCGCGACGTCTATGTGGATGCGGATTTCGCTGGCTGCCCATTGACTAGGAAACCTACTTCAGGATGCATTGTCTACTTCTTCGGAACACCAATACAGTTTGGAAGCCGAACAAGGGCAGCAGTGGCCTGAAGCAAAGCAGAGAGGGAGCCCTACGCAATCTGCGCAGGAACCAACAAAGCACATATCAAAGCGTTCAGGATCTGCAAGGAAGCTGAACATTCGAGTACCCACAGACTCATCAGCAGGCAAGAGCATCGCTACTTGTACAAGACAAGGTATACAAACAAGGCAAAATGTATACAGATCAAAACTCTCTACGTGCAACAACTTGTACAAGGCCTTGAGCTTTGCACTACTAGCCACGACTACAAACTCTGTCTGAACAAGTAAGTCGTCAATTTTGAAGGGGGAGAGAGAGAGAGGACTAGTCGTTACTGTCAGGTCCAGGCTCTGTGATATATAGTTAGTAGGGGAAGATTGATTGGGTTGGTCAGTTTTCCGGTACCCATGCGTGAAGGGTCCATGGGGTCCGAGCGAAGGGTCCAGAATCCATGGGTTCCATGTTCCATGGGTTCTTCTTCCTTTGGCCTGGTTTGCGGCCATGATAATTTTTTGGTGTTGACATCGCCCATGCTGAAAGCAATCTTGCTATGTGCCGTGTGAGGGTCTCTCAGGTGGTGTGGGGTAATCACATGAGCAATAGACTCAGTAGAATCAGATTGCACTGAAATTTGGGTCTTTCATTTTTGCCAGCATGCTCATTCATGAATCATGAAGAATGAATTCCAATGTCTCTACTGATAGGATGCTCGCTGATTCCACTTTCACTTAGTTTGTGGCATTGTGAGAGCCGCCACGGCTAGACAGTCTTGAACATGTTTCCAGGCAAACCGTACTATTCAGGCGGCTGCAAGGCAGGTGGTTCGTGGCTGAGGGTACCAGTACTTTTTATTGATGAAAAGCCGAAGCACAACTCAACATGGCCACACATCAAACTGGACTTCTAAGTTGCACCAATTGAAGATAGACAGTCGCCCAGACCTGTGCTTCTTGACTCGGTAGTTTCTGGCTAGTTTGCTTGATGTCTACAGGTTCAGCAGACTCGAATCAGTCTTGAGTTTTGTGCAGTCCGCTTTGGTGGGTGGTACCTTTGCCTTCCACAACGCGAAGCACAACCGCTTCATCAAGTTCCTCTGGCTTCAATGCAGGTGTGTTGATCTGTCAATCTAGACACGAAAGTTGGGAGAAGATTTATGAGGTCGGTTCACGGCAAGATTCGATTCATTTATATCATGAGTTATGTTGTTAGTGCCCTTGTATTGCACTCAGGCTTGACAAGCACGACATGAAGCGCAGCCCTGGAAAGGCTGCTGACGCCCGACGAAAGCAACGTTTGCGGATTCTTCAACATGAAAAGCTGGCGTATTTACATTGCCAAACATGTAAGGACAAGCTGCCAGATGGATGGGGCGCCGAGCGCTTTGTGGTCAAGGAGGGTGGAGAAGGGCGCGTAGGATTCTACAGTCCAGGCCGGAAGCAGTAACTTGGTCAGCGGGTGAGAAGGATGCGGGGTTGGTTGTACACGCGAACTGGGTCGGTTGTACACGCGGATCCAGGGTCGGTTGTACACGCAGGAGCACGCAAGTAGAAGGGTAAAAGTACTGCGAAAAAGGCAACAATTGCCACTGGTTACAGTATAATATACATGCAAGAAAAACAACCATCAGCATGTAGAAGACAGAGTTGAACTGTGGAAGCAAAGCACGAAGTCATTTCAAAGGATTTGATCGGACGTTTTGCGCGCATAAGAACTGTCATTTACAGTGTTTTTGGGTTTTGTCACGGACGTTGCTGCAACGTGCGAGAGGCCAAAAACTTGCCAATAAGGGTCCGGCATCGAATCGTGCGTGTCAATGCTTCAAAACGGTGACTTCAGAAATGCTGCAGATCGGCGTTGCTTTGCGAAACCGCTCGCACGCGCCGCTGCCCAAACCAGCCTTGTGCAGACATGTCTTTGGGCACGCGCGTGCGTGGTTCCCAAGCCAAAGCCAAGCAGTCCAGCAGTTCTCGTTTGCCGCTTTGGTTTGCTCGCTTTGCTGCGCCGCTCGGCTGCTCTGCTTTGCTGCCGTGCTGCTGTGCTTTGCCGTTGGGTCCGCGTAGTGCAGTGCACCAAGTGCTGGGTCGGTTGCTGCTGCTGCTGCTGCTGTTGCTGCTGACGCTAGTTTCACAAGCAACTCAGTCCTCATTGTCGGCTGTTCCCCACATGCTAGCTGCTAGATTGGTTTCTTACTGTACTTTTTCTCGGGTCGCCCCACTCCTGCGTGCCCTCCTCCACCTCCCGCGCACACACACAAGCCAACTCACGCGAACTCACACACACACACCTAACTTAGGCATACCAACTCACTCACACCAACACACACTCAAGATATTGCGTGCTGACTCGATTGCGGCTTGCCAATCGGCAAGCTAGGTACCCATATTCCTGAGAAAGTCATGAAAGGGGGTCTGAGCATCTTGGAGGTCCGACAAAGAAGGAAGAGGCCTAATCTCAAAGTTCGATGTCGACGAGCACGAAACGACAGGCTGACGACGCGGAGTGCATTAGCTCTTTACTGAAGAGTAGGGTCACAGATTGAGCAGCAGTTCAAAAGGAAGCAGGTGCATGGAGTTGATCAGACTCCATATCAGTCGTGGCATAGCCCTCTTCGTTGGGCAACCAGCTATGCTCACGAGGTTGCCCCGGCAAAAACATCAACTGATTCCCTGTGGTTCCAAGGGTTTCACACACACGCCCCCCCCCACGTGGGGGTCCAAAAACTAAGGGGCGAACAAGTGTGCATGTGTGCGCGCAAAGAAGACAAAGGGATGAAAACATGAGAAGGAGACAAGACAAGACCAATGTGTGTGGTTGTGATGAAGGGGAAGCCAAGTGCACAGGGACAACCATTGAACCAGACCCCATGGTCAAAACCTGGGCGACCTGAAACCTGGGTTGAAGGTAAGTTGTGCGCGTACATGCTAAGGGCCGGGCCGTTGTGTGCGCAAAAGAAGGAACAGAGTGAGATGACGGAACATGAAGGCTGAAGGACATGAAAAGAAACAGGAAAGAACATGTGTGTGAAGGGCAAGAGGTGGAAGGGGAAACCAAATGGAGGGGCCGGAACCGAACGAAACCAGACCTCATCAGAGAAAACCTAGGCAGACCTGCCTCGTTAGGTTGTGGGTTGGTTGGTGGGTTGGTTGGTGGGTTGGTTGGTTTGTTGGTTGGTGGGTTGGTTGGTGGGTTGGTTGGTGGGTTGGTTGGTG